CAGAAATAATATTGACCTTGCAGAAACATAGTGGTGTTTTTTTGTTTGTTTGTTTTTCCAATAGTTCATTCATTTCAAATGCATCATTGCAAATGTATTTTCCTGGTCCAATATGTCACTGCTACCCGAGGTCTCATGAGAGTATGGGTTGACATTAAAGACAAGCCTAAGTCAATTTTATTTACCACTGGTTATTTGTGGGTGTATATTATTCTTTAAGGAAATAAATATCAAAAAGTCAATTTTTAAAGTTAACATTGTCATGGACATATCAAGCTCTTCTAGGAAAGCTTAATTAGGTATGCTGCTTTGCCTAGCTATATAACACTGTGTTTTAAAAATGTTATTAAAGCATTATATACTTGAAAATGTTTTTCATAGGATAATGAGAATTAAGACCTCCCCCCAACTGTTGTCCATTGTCCAAAGTTTGAAATTTTTTCCCCTTATCCTGATTTTTAAAAATTAAATCAACTTTATTGAGGCACACTTTACATGTAACAAAATGCACCCATCATAAGTATGCAGTTTGATGAGTTTTGGGCAAATGTATATACTTGTTTTACTACGACTGTGTTCTTACTGCTGCTATTACTGTGTTGCTCAATCAAGATGCAGAACATTTCCATCCACCTGAAAAGTTTTTTCATGCCCTTCCCAGTCATTCACCTTCTAGCCAATCACTCTGTTTTGAGAAGAAAATTTTAAAAACAAAGTTTTCTTTTCTTTTCTCATCTATTGCCCTACCCCAACACAATTGTGTCTCTTTTTCTCTCTCTCCCTTTCTTCTTGCTCCAGCAGCCTGGCAATTTTTTGGATTAAAGCACTGAGCTGCTTGTTGGCTCTACTGAGTAGAGAGAGGAGAATGCTCTTCATTGTTTTTCTATTCTTTCTCAGTGACCTCTCACTGCTCTGCCTCTGAAATCCCCATGCACCCATCCGTCCATCCATCTACCCATCCATCCATCCATCCATCCACCCACCCATCTATCTATGCATCCACCCCTCTATCTATGCATCCACCCATCTATCCATCCATCCAGCCAGCCAACCATCCATGTATCCATCCATCCATCCATCCATCCATCCATCCATCCATCCATCCATCCATCTATCCATCCATCTATCCATCCATCCACCCATCTGTCCATCCACCCACTCACCTATCCATCCATCCATCCACCTACTTATCCATCCATCCATCCATCCATCCATCCATCCATCCATCCATCCAACCCTCCATGTATCTATCCATCCATCCATCCATCCACCCACCCACCCACCTCTCCATCCATCCATCCACCCACCCACCCACCTCTCCATCCATCCATCCATCCATCCATCCATCCATCCATCCATCTATCCATCCATCCACCCATATCCATCCATCCACCCACCTATCCATCCATCCATCCACCTACTTATCCATCCATCCATCCATCTATCCATCCATCCGTCCATCCACCTATCCATCCATCCATCCTCCCACTTATCCATCCATCCATCCAACTTTTGTTGAGCGTCTACTATGAGCCACAGGCTACCAAGAATCCTGCCTCCACTTGACTTATGTTCTAACACAAAAGACAAACAATTTAACAATTATGCTAAAAAGACAATACATAGTATAATGGGGAAGTATGGGAGATACAATGGGATACTCAGCAGGAATAGCTAAGAATGATTCTCAGGGGGAAGAGACATTAACGATGGAGACCTGTAGGACAAATATCAACGAGTCAGTTAATTATTTCAGTCACATTTATTGGGTGCTGCAGGCTGGGCACAGTGGTAGCTGCTAGTGATTCAGACAGATGTGAGCAAGACAGACATGGGACTGCTCTCATGGGGTGCATATTGTTGTGGACTTAGTCCAGGCTGGGCTGGGGCAGTGGGATAATGTTCTAGGCAGAGAGAACATGCGTAATGGACCATAGGGAAAAGACAACAAGGTGAGTTAGAAACACCCAAAATTCCACATGACCAGAATATGAATGTCAGCCAGGATGGGGGCCCTGATGGTCTTGAAAGAGGGAGCTGTGAGCTGGGGCCATAGCAATTGCTTGGCTCTCATTTGCTGTTTAGAATGGTCATGAAGCCCTAATCAGAATTTTAAAAGAAAAAGAAATATTGAATATAGATACCACATCTCAATCACTTGCAAATAATTTCCTTCTGTCTCTCATAAACATAGCCATGATTAAAATGACCTTTCACGAACAGCAGGGAGGGACTGCTGAAGAAAATGAGGTATGCGAGAATAAAATCCATCTACCTGATTGCCATGTAACTTTTGGTGAGTCACCAGAGTGAGAATTTCAGATGTGAATTAAAGATTGCCAAGAGTGGTGGCATACTTGAAAAAAATTCCTGACATGTCCTATTTTAGAATCAGAAGACCAGAGAACTGGGGAAGAAAGAATGTATTTTTTTCCTTACATTCTAACTTCTTCCCAAATAATTGTAAGGTAAATTATTTATGTAGTTTCCATCCGAATTGTTGACTTTTAGATGAATGTTACTTGATAGACACTTAATACATCGAGGCAAACATTCCATGGAGTTCTGCAAAAGCCATAAAGGGTGACAAAGCCCAGCCGCTGATTCATTTTTGGTCATAACATGTCCATATAGTGTATTCAATCCTTTGCAATTTGGTATTTGATAAAATCTATTTACTGTGTAGTGAGTTCTGTACATCTTACCTAAAGTTAAAGCTCTCCGAAAACCCAAATCTCCTGTGGGCACTAATTCACACAACCTTCTGGAAATGTAAAATCCTAAATGCTTGCTGACTGCAAATCAATGTTTATAACCCAAGTATTAATAGCTGCGTGAAATGTTATGCTTCTCTCATCGTTTATCACCCTTCGCTTGGATTTAGCATACCTTTCCAAGGGGCTGATTTTCTTTTCTTGGATGGCCCTAAGCCACTTACCAGCAGATCAGAAATATAGTCTATCAAATCTATTTAAGGAACACATTCAATCAATGGCAAAGGATGTGTTCTGCAGGATTCCACTCATTTTGTGTGTCATTTTGCGTTTTACTGAGCCCTCTCACTAGCAGTCCTGGGCACGTTCATGATTTGGGGCCCTTCATATGCATCAGCCTGGTAACCAGCAACTGCATACACTATTGGTTTCAGAGTTTCAGCTGAGGTTGCCACATGTACCTGCCACAGAACTACTCATCAGACGTTATCCGTCATGAGCCAGGATGTTGGTTGACATGCGATGTCTACTCTAGGGTCTGTCGGTTTCTCGGGCAGTGGGACCATCCACTTACCTTTCCCAGTTGTGTAAGGGGACCTGCTGGACATCTGAGTTAACTGACAACACATTTCGGCTTCATTCCAGGGTTTTTTATGAAATAGGATCTTGGGCTGGCACACTTGTCAATCCAGCTCTGTTCATCCATGGGCTCCTAACTATTTAAAATGATGATAGATGACAGCCTCCTCCCCTACTAGGTGGTCAATGAGTGAATCTGCTCACTAATCTGCAGAGTCGACCAACCTGATGGAAACATGGATTTTCCAACATGTTTAAACCTCAAACATATATGGCTCTGAAATACGTAAATACTCTTGGGACACGACAGGATGAGGCTATTCATAAACGGAACAAAGAGAACAGGTGAATTTTTATGGAAAAATGCTGAATGTTAATCTTGATCAAGATTGATGTCATTTGCTAGAGTTCAGCAAATAAATATTGGGTTATTTAGGCCTTTGTGGGCTGGCCTAGGAAGCTCACTACCATTTGTAATAAGAATTCCAGGGAAAAGGTTGCTCTGAGATGCAAACAGAAGGCTTAGAGACAGGCTTTCTGAAAAGAACGGGCCTTCGTAATGTAGTACCTTCTGTGGACGTCTTTTCTAATGGGAAGAGAATTCCTCAAGTTAACAATCATAAACACCGTTGTTTAGTGGAGTTGCTGGTTTTCACCATAGTATCATCTCCCTCGACAAGGGAAGTGCTCAAACTTCCAATTTCACGCATTTTCCCCCTTATGAAGTGATGTACATTAGTGCGGTTGATCCTCCGTGAAACATAGCAAAGAGTTAAGAGTTTCTAAACTCAAACTGAGGAAGGAGTGTGTCCTTCTGAGACTGCAGAATTCAAAGGGCTCACAGATGGATCATCAGAAATAAAACGACAAACAGATAACTTTTCCATAAAGAGCATATTGTGTTGATTTATTATAACAGAATGCAGTTAAAAAAAATATTTTGAGGTTAGCCTCTCCAGTTTAAAAGCACTTCACTAGGAACACTTGACCAGCTATGCAATGGTCTTTCCCTCACCTGCCCTACCCCACCCGCCAAGTTCTGTAAACAGGGTTTTGAGAACATTCAGTCAATTTCTTGATATGAACCACCAATGTATTTGCTTCTTAAAGAACACCATCTTCCAAATTTCCAAAGCATGCACTGTTATCCAGCATTAGGTATTTCAAAAGGACAAATTCTGTTATGATATCGTAAGGCCAAAATATAATACCTATTTACCAGACATACACGTTACAACTAGAAAAATATTACAAACGTTAACCTAGTGTAACAATTCCATCAGGAATTAACGGGGAAAGGCACTGCATCTCTCTCATGTCACCACAATTGACTATCCACTTCACATGCTTTGAATTCAAGTCCTGCCAAACATTTCTACGACGTACAATTCACAGGTGGGTTAATACATCTTACACTATTTTTCCACTGCCATACTCTTCACCCAAGTGCACAACAGGTATGAATATATGCTATCAGCTTTATTTACAAGTTTATCTTGATGTTTTTAGTGGGGTGAAAATTCAACTATCTCAACCGACAGATCCCCCTAAAAGGTTTTTGGCTATGAGTCATGGATTCAACCACCACGTGAAAGAAATCAATGAAACCGACGTCCTACCCAAAACATCTAAACTAAAATGTCTCACCCACGAAAAGTTGGCAGTGAAACTGTGGTTCTCTGAATTTTACAAGCGAAACTCTACGGAGGAATTTCAGATTGACTTCTTTTGCCAAAGCACTGGTTGTAGGTTGCATCGGACAGGATGCTGACTGAGTGTATTCCAGGTAGAATTCCACGTGTGAGTGCTGTTGCAAAGAGAGTCATCAATCTGGAAAGGTGATAGCTTTTTCAAATGCTTTCCTAGCTTCCCAAAAGATGTAAAACAATGGCGGAACTCTATACACGAACAAAGGTTAGTTGTGAAAATCAGTTATATACATGCACAAACATTAGAACATGAGGGAAAAAAAGGAAACACCACAATTCCCACATTGTGTTGTTGTTTTCACAACCTTTCTGCACCAGACACTTCGTCGCTTCACGCAGTGCCTTTTCCTACCAGTAGAGAGAGTCTAACCCGTGGGCTGGTTAGAAACAGACGGCTCTCCCCGGACCCATTGATCACCCTGCCCTTGGCAAAAACAGAACCTACTAGAAAAGAACAAGTACAAGACACTACTGTTATCAGTTTTCTCGAGACATTCCCAAATGTCCTTGTGCGATCACCCCAGACTCAGTGATTGGCCCAGGACATTCCCGGGAGCCGTGAACATTGACGGACGCGCAGCATTAGAACCAGGAGACAAACCCTTGATTCTCTCTTGAGCAACATGAACTGGAATTTCTGCCACAGCGATCACGGCTGCCACCTCCAAAGTTGTGACCGGCCACTTCCACAGTAAAAGATTCCTCCCCGTGAGTATGACTTGGATTACTTCTTCGTCCCGGTGCCAGCTCAGCTTAAGTGGATAGGCGTGTATTCTGGCCTCCGGGTCTGGATAATTTTTGGTTTGGGTCTCTTCATTCTTTCCATCTCATCTTCTTCCTCGTTCTCCTGGTCGCTCTCACATACATGGACCACCACGCTGGGAGTGGTGTCGGTGGCTGCGTGCAATTCATACTTTTCCCCTGGGGAAAGAAAACAATTGCAGGGTAACTCAGGCAAGTCATTGAGAGCCAATGGGTAAGAGTAACTGGAAAAGCTGGTAGGGGTGTGGTCGGCCAAGCTTCTGTGAACATTCAGTGGGGATTGAGGGACATGGCCACTATGCTCTGGATTGGTGTTTCTTTGGTGGCTCATTCAGGGGAAAAAATATATATATACATATGCACACACACATGCACACACAGTCATGCACCACATAATGACATTTCTGTCAATGTCATGACATTTCAATGACATTTCGGACCACATATATGACAGTGGTCCTGTAAGATTAGTACCATACAGCCTAGGTGTGTAGTAGGCTATCCCATCTAGGTTTGTCTAAGTACACTCTATGATGTTCACACAATGACAAAATCACCTAATAATGCATTTCTCAGAGTGTATCCCCGTCATTAAATGAGGCATGACTGTAATATACAGTATCATCATTGTATATTACTCTGCTTTCAATCAAACACTCTCAATCTAGGCATACGAAAGGTATGGAAGGAATATATTTTCCAATTACACTTAACATGTCCAGCAGGTCTCCTAAAACACCCAGTGGACTCCCCCAGGGCAGTGTGAGGAGTATCTGTTCAGGAAAAGACGCTACACAAATAAACGTGTTAGGAGAGGACATGGTGAGCCTCCCTCTGGAGGCTCCCGCTGAGGTCCACAGATCACCCTGGGGGACGGGAGGCACAAGGAGGGCCTGCATGAAGACACAAGTGTGGCTGGTTGAACCAGGGGCTCCGAAAACATTTTTGACTACAGGATCCTTTTTCATACGACAACTATCAACCCCCTGGAACCAAGAGTGTCCTGCTGTTCTAGGTCAGCCTGAGTGTTACCAGTTCATTCAAGTTCAGGCCACTCTGGTCCAGCAATGGCCTGGGGAGCTTTCTGTAACTGCAAAGCCCTGGCAGAGCTCTATGGCGCCAGTCTGGTGACAGAAGAGTCTGCATCCTGGGAGCTGAAGGAGGCAGTGCAGCACAGTGGCCAACACTCAGGCTGTGACCCCACCACTTAGTACCCGGTGCTCATGGGCATGTTCCTTCGCCTCCCTGTGCCCCTCAGTTTCCTCCTCTGTAAAATGGGATAATAAAGGCATCGACCTCAGGGAGCTGATTACACGTGCGAATGCAGGCAAAGCATTTCTACCTGGCCCATGGTACACATTCCCCATAAGTGTCACCCAGCTTTATTATGCTTAAAAATAGAGCATGAATGGTTATTGCGGAAAGCTGGGAGTGGTAGAAATGCTGGGATTTCAGACAGGGGTGGGGGAGGGGGAGGTGGTTTGCTTCAGTTTGCTCTACCTCCCAGTTGTGGGGGGCAGGACTGGGGTGAGTTTTCCTCCAGGTTCTCTTCTTGCCTGATTCTAGGCTGGAAGGAGCAGCTAACCATGTTTTCCTGCCTCATGCTGCTTTGGTGACTCCTCTGAACAGAGAAGGCGCTTCTACCCATAAAAAAAGCTGGTTGCCTTTTTTCTATCCCACACAGGAGACTGGAATGTTCCTGCAATTGCCTTTGGAGAGGTGAAGGAGCCTTAGCTCTCTCAGAGAGAGTACTAAGGTGGAGGGTCAGACAGATCACCTTGGTCAGGATGCTCTCTACAAATCCTCATCTACCCACCAGTCAGTCACAAGCCAGAAAACTCCACTTAGGACCGTATCTGCAAAATCTTTGCAATCTTGGCTGCAAAGCACAGCCGAAATACGAAATATTATTCAAGCTCATTGTTAAGTAAACTAAGGGGCAAACTGATCTTATTACGCCTCTGTTCTAAAACAGCCTTCTCAAATAAGCCTTCTGTAAGGAGTGGTAGATTCTGGAGTGTGGGGAATTTTCTTTAGCGGTACTTCCTGCCCCTGGAGCAGTTTGACACGTCTCCACAGGTGAAGATTTCGTTTCCTCCCTTCTCTAACATCCCAGCAGGTTCCAACCCTCAGCTTTGCTAATGCCCCTCAGCCAGGAGCTGCCAGAGGGGCACAGGCTTCCTCAAACCGGCCATTTCCATCTTGACCTTCACGCCATGGTTAGCAGTAAGTCACGTGGTTCTTGCTTTCTACGACACAGGGGATTTCCGTCTGGGCGATGTTTTCATAAATGTAACCTTTTCAACATGAAACTGCTGATGGTCTGAGAAAATAAAACCCTCAACCCAAAGGAACATCAGATTGCGGGTCAAGGAGAAAGCTGATGGTCTCAGCACTTACTGCATTTGCTCCACAGATAGGGCAGGAGTGGGGCTCAAACTTCTGTACCCCAAGATCCCCCTCGTACCTGCCTACTCACCGAAACCTTATCAGAGAGGACAGGAGCCACCGACATTTTATTGTTTCCAAAAAACATGTATTGAGTGCTGTCTATGGGCCAGGCACTATTTGAAGGGCTTTTTCCACAATGGTCTCATTTACCGATCACAACTCCATGGGGTAATACCCATTTTACGGATGAGGAGCCTGAGGCCAGAGAAATTGTCTCCCGGAATGCTCACACCTTCGTCCCTTCAGGAGTCTGGACCCTCTTCTTTCCCTGGCAAGCTCAGCAGGGGAGCGCCCCTATGGGACCAGAAGGGGGCATGCAGGAGTGGGTCTCTTTCTTCACTACGATCTACAGTTCTGTTCTCCATTTCCTCAAATTCAAATGGGCAGGTGAGAATCAGATCAATGGACAAAATTACCTTGACCAAAAATGAAATTTCTAAAAGGAGGGGTCTGTTTTCCCTTTCCAAAGCCACCTGTTCATCCCCACTTGGAGCGATAGGACATGGGGCCTGGTTTTGAGCCACCCCCATGGGGGGCTGTGCTCAGTGCGTGAGGGATGGATTCATGTGATGCCGTGTGGGAGGGTCATGGTGCATGGTCCCCCATAGCCAGCTACAGTCCCTCTTGTATACCATCCCAAGGAATGAGGCCTAAGGCAGGCACGCAGGCTCCCAGCATGAGTTACGGTGGTGCAGAAGAATGCAAATAGCAACAATTCACAACACATCCCATGAGAGCTGAAAAAGCAATGGGGCCGCAGCTCCCTGCTGCAGGTGAGCCTCTGTGTCTTGAGACCTTTAGTACAATCTCTCCCCGTCCCCTTGCCCCGCTCCCACCTGAGAGCTCTGCTTACCTGGCCCTAGCTTGGAGATAGCATATAATAGATCATAATTTATGACGGGAGTAGCGTCTTCCACTTGTTTCCAACCGACCGGCGGAGAGGCAGGAGGAGAGATCAGAAACTGCTTGTCTGGATTTGGTGGAGCCAGGTGTGAACTTCCTATGTGTAAAGTCTGAGGAGAGAAATAAATACAGGTGGATGTTTCCAGAGGGAAGAACTGAAGCAGTGCAACAGCACTTAATGACCGCGTATTGAAGACAGGTGGGAAAAGACGAGCCATGTCTGGGCAGCAGAATGAGGGCCGTTCGGGGATGAATGGGATCTTGGTCTTTGAGGGGAGGGGAAGGGAAGAACTCTGGGTTGGGTGCAGACATGATTAGAAGCTCCTCCCAGGACTGGGACTCACAGGCACAGGGACTGCAAGTAATTACACTTGACCTAGACTGACGGAAAACCAACAGAGATGGTTTTACTCTAAATGGAAAAAATACAGCCACTGTCATCCAGGTCAGAGGGATCTCAGAACCCATTTCTTCCAGCTCCTCATATCATAAAGGTGTAACTGAAGCTCCAACAGGCTAAGCAACATCTCTAGGATTATACAGTCTTTCAGAGGGGCAAAGCAGGGATGGGACCCAGGACTCCTGCCCCCGACATGCTCAGGCCTCCCCTCCCAGTGGTAGCCCCACACTTCCCTCCCTCTGGGGCTCCGAATTGGATGCCAAAAGTGTGGAAGGAAAAAAGAATCCACCTTCCAGGAGATGTAAAAAAATAATAATAAGGAACAATAACCTATGATCCTAGTTTGGGCTTAAAAATTATGTCAGTGATCAAGAGGGCTGTCCAGAAAGACAGGACATCAACATCTCACAGGTTAGAATTTTCTTTGTGTTTTAATATTTCCTGCCCCCAATTTTCACGATGAACATACATTTACTTTACTAATCAGAAGAAGTCGTGGAGGGACTAAGTAATTCTTTACGCGGAACTCCACCAAATGCAGAGAGGAGTGGACTCAACCAACCATCGAAGGTCAAAGCTGTGCCTCCCAACCACCACCAGGGGGCAGGGCATCCCAGCTCTAACAGACACTTGACGAGTGGGCAAGTTGGCCGCCTTCCGCTGGAGCCTCTCTATCGGGTCTGCTCCCAAACTGGTGCGAACTGAGAGCCCCCACGGCGGATGGGGGCTCGATTTAACCAGGGAGCAGCACCCGAGAGAAGCTCCGTCCTCCTCCCCCTGTAAACCTGTTAGACCCCCGTTACATCGTCAAATGGAACTTTGTGAGCTGCCTGAAAGGTGGGCACCTATCATGGAAGGTCCCCAGGGGGAGAGCTGGAAGGGTGGCGAGCATCAGGAAAAGCAAGCCCACTCACAGCCCCCTTGAGTGCCCTGGGGCCAGGACTCCTCTTAGCGCTGGCCACCTGTCTGGGTAACTCATTTTCTTCCTTTGAAGCGGGCCTGGCAGCCCTGCGCTGATGCACATCCACGGCTTGCAGACTACAAGTTCTCCACCTCGAGAAGGCTGAGGACCTGCGGGGAGCCAGTCTGGTCTGCTCTCGGTCTGGAACGAGTCCTCGGCCCTGATCCTTGAGCAAATTCATGAAAACTTGCTGCACGAATCTTAGGGTTCTAGAGTAGCCGTGCCCACAACACTGCCCTCTACAACCTTATTCTTTCTGCCATCATCACTCAACCCAAGGAGATCAGGAGCCATTTCTGAGGTCGCTTTCAAATACACCCTGATGTTTTCCTAAAATCAGTAAGACATTGTAAATTTGGAGTATGAACTTTGCCTCTCTCAAGATGAAATCTTGGAGTTTTAAATCAATGGATATGTAATTGATGTATAAGCTACTTTTAATAACGGTGAGAGAGAGAAGGGAGAGGCAAGCAGATCGATGAACTCGACTCACCTGAGCAAAATATAATTTCATTTCCTTTCCGAGAAATTCCGTCTTATGTAGCTGGAGTCTGGCATCTGCTGCAGATAGGGGGTTGCTGAAGTTTATTCTGACTCGTTTGAAGCTCTTAAAATACTGAAAGGTGATATCCTTGTCATATGTCCTAAAGAGGGATTCAAATTTGGCCTGAAAAATAAAAACGAGAGGAGTTAAAATTTACCTGCATATGGTCCTTGACTAGAAGACTTCATTACATTTCTTATTGAGGAATGGAATTATTAACCATTTCAAGAACTCCTAACTTCTTTCTCAGAGAAGACAGAGAGATGAACTTCCCCCTCTGAGGAGATTCTGCCCTTTTAATTCGGGTACAGGTGATTTTATATGAAAGTAAGAATGTATACGATTTACTAACTTCATTTAATCAGCAGAACAATTACTAATTCTTAACCACTTGTTATAGTCACAGAAACATTCTTTTTAAAGTAGAATGAGCATTTTCCAAGGAGGACCGGTTTGGTAATTTGCCACCCCTCTGGCCTGACACTTTCTGTGTCCCACAACCTTCCGCAGCCTGATGAACTCCAACCCCGCCTCTCAGCTTGCGGCATTGCTGTGTACATCAAAGACTTCTGTAGGGCTTAAAAGCACTGGAACTAATTTGAAAAAACCATTTTTATTGAATTGGAAAATAATGAAGTTAATAACAAGCCTTGCATTTCTTAATGTAAAGGAAGCAGTTTAAAAAAAAATTCCTACTACCGTTTTCCCCCTCAATCTGTTACTTTTTAACTCTCTAAAATAATACTGGTTTAAAAAATGAATGTACTGCCAATGGACCCATTTCTGCATGCTAGTGTTAATTATATATACACATATCTAGCTCTAGTGTTATCAGGGCTAGTGAAAATTCTCAAACAGCAGGAGCTCTTAGAATTGAAATGCCCAAGTTCAATGGTTACAAGCTTAGATTCAGGAAAGAGCTCATTAGCCTCCTCGGAAAGCTCTAGGGGGAGGCCTCCTGGGCTGGGTCCTGGGGTGGAGGTGTCCATGGGGGGAGCTGGGAGGCCACTGCAATCCTTCAGGATTCCAACCAGAGAGGGAGTTGATGGATAGTCGAAACTGTGGGGAAGATTGCACGGACTTTTAGTCACTGTGTTTTATGAGTCTTTTATTCCAGACTAAACACTGAGGACAGGTTGGGAACCCCTGTGAAAGGCAGAAGGGGGTGGCTGAGCATCTGGATGCCCTTTACACAGGCAACTGATGCAGAAGAGGAGGCGGGGCCCACCAAGTACCGTGGAAACCTATGGAAAGCACAGTATTTCTGCAGAGGGGAGAGAGGACTCTGAGCAAGAGAGGAGAACATCTTCAAGAATATTCAGTGCTAGAAAGAGGAGGAGGGAATGGGCCTCCCTGTAGGTGCCTGCTCCACATGGCAGCGCTGCCAGCAGGTCTCCAACAGGCAGGTTGTTAGGGGGAAGTGGGAACAACCCCCAAACTTTCTCTCTGTGAATTCCCTGGCTTTTCTTTAGTTTATGGACATTTCTGTGACTTTCCCATGAGGGGCTTTACAGAGGCAAAAAACGAGAAAGAAAGCAGAGCAGATGGTTCCCGTGGGATTTCATCTGGCCGCCTGGGACTTGTTTTCTCCACCTCTTTGAGCATGGGCAAGTTTCTGGCATAAGGGTGTCTGTAATTTGGAATTTCGCATGACCTCATCGATGGGCACTGTCACCAACTGTGTAGTTCTGAAGTTATGATTCATAATTTAGGTGAGATGACTTTGATGAATATTTTTAGAATACAAGTCAAGGCTTAGGACAAGAACACAAGAGAACCCACATTATCTATTAAGTCCATCATACTATTATACCATTCTCTTATAAAATAATCTAATTTGTTCTAATAACTGATATCTAGTTATTATAGTTGTTGGATGGAATCCCTACTTACTTAAATAAATAAAATAGCAATTTTACTCACATAAGGCTAATATTAAATACACAAACCTGGTAGTACTTTTACACATAGAAAGTGCTCTAATACTTAGTTCAAAAACTATAGTCCCAGCTGAAACCACAGTACACAATTATGGAGTTAAACTGAATTAAAGAAAAAAAAAGAAAAGAAATCTTCAGATGTCCCAATATGGCTTTGGGTATAAAGCATATAATGCGAATACCACCCCCCAAACAGAACATACAGAATTCATTCATATCCAATATTGTTAAAGATCAATTAGATAGCTGGGTAGCTACGTATGAAAATGTTACATTTTAATCAAATGAAGAAGCAAGCACAGTAATTAAAATTACTAATTATATTAATTACCATCAATGAGAGCTGTTTCCCAGGAGGTACACTCACCCCACACTTAAGTTATTTACCCAGTTTTATTATTTGCTATGGCTGCCTTTTCTGTAGTTAGAGAAATCTGGAAACTTGAGGACAGACCCTTGTAATTACTGCGAACATACAAATATCTTTACAATATTTATTTCCTAAAATAAAATCAAATATTCTGAACTCTAGATGGCAAAGTGAAACTTTCTGTTCACTGTCAGAAAAGACTTCCCTCCAAAAAATTTACTTACAAAGCTACACAGCATGAAAAACACATGATGCCAAAACTCTGCCTTCCTAGTTTTCAAATATTGAGAGCTTTAAAAATTCCTTCCTACTTAATTCCTCAGGCGACACTTTTTGATTTCTAAGGCTCAAAGTATTTTGGATTTATTTCAACACCCCCAAACCCACAAGAGAGCCACAGACCCCCCAAATATTGCAGTTAATAGTTCCCATTAACGTAATGCTTTGAAAACTCGCAGAAATCCCATTATATTAGAAGCCTTACCCTGGTTTCACTTTCGCTGAAGATATCACTGTTTGCCACACAGGCAATCAGGGAGCTAAAACTGTAGTTAAAGTTTCTAAAATGCATCTTGCTTTCTTGCAGTGAAAGCGCTAGAGACGCTCGCAGTCAAGCTCCAAGTGAGGTTCCTTTGCGAGAGGCTGTAGGTTCTTTCTGGAGCCAGCGCTTATAAAGCGCCGAGGTCCAGCCCCCTGGGAACAAAAGCGCAGCTTCCAGGGCATCCTGTTTGGACAGCAAATTCCTGACTCAAGTCCTGCATGCTTGCAGGCAGACAGGGACAGAGTGTAAGTTTCTACTGGAAAGAGGTGACGTCAGCACCTTAGTCATTTTCCCTATGCTAATTAACTTTGCTCGGGGAGGATGGAAAAAACAGCCGAGGTTTGCTCTGCAGCTGCTCTATCGACCCCTCTTGCAGCATAGTTTCCACTGGTAGTAATTCCATTCAGCCACTCAGACACCACGCTGCTCAGCTGAATGGGACAAGCGTCTTAAGATGGAAAATGTTACAGAAGAAAAAGGAGGAAGGTCTACAGCAGTAAACAGTAATTAGCCTCCAGGGAAGTTTCAAGGCTTTGGGAAACCTGGAAACCAAAGTCTTGGTAAGTGCTTTGATCCCTGTAATTTCTTGAAAGCCTCCATCAAAGTTTGATATCGGGGTACTAGAGAGAACATTTTGAAATCTGTCTTGGTCAGTGAACTCTGTTTCTAAAGAAAAAAGTGGAATTCATTGTGAAATATGATTTTCTTTTTTCCCAATTGAACTTTATTGGATGAAGGTCCTAATTCTCACTTGTATTCCACAGTGAAAACATGGGAGGAGATCCTCAGGCCATCCTAGCATTTTCACTGGAAAACTTTATTATTGTAATTTGAGAACTAGGAATATGCAACACTTTGATCATTTTCTAACAGCTACAGAAGTCAGAAAAAGATACAAAAACCGTTTAGAGATTCTAGTCTCTGAAGTTGAGAAAAGAAACATTAAGAGGTCACTCTGCTTTGATACTCACAGACTGATTTTTTTTTTTTTTTAAATAAGAAAGGAAGAAGAAATGGAAAGAACGTACACTACAATTGAAAAGCTAATTCAGCTGGTCTTTCTTCAGGTAAGGTGTCTGGTCTAGAGAAGCATACTTGAATGGCAGGATGCCAGTTCCTTCAAAAGGCTGCAACTCTTTGAACTTCTAAGCACTTTACCAGTTTAGATCCCTATGGCAGTCTGGGTCCGAGGCCTTCCAATCTCCCCAATTTCGTTATCACCTACAAGTACTCATGTCATTTATAAAAGCATTCTTGAGTCTAGAGACACACAGATACACTTCTTAAGTTTCTAAAAGTTAAATGGAACCCTGCCATTCACATTTAAAAATTAACTTCAAAGAATCATTAAACTCAGCCGATAATAAAAAGAATATAAGCAATGGGGAAAAAAACCAACCAGAGCACTGATCCCTCCAAAAAAGGAAAAGCAGAGTCTTCGTGGATGAATGAGCACTGCTTAATTTCAATGCACGGTGCCTTGCTGCCAACTGTAGAGTTACGTAAGAAACCAGTTATGGTGTTTGCTTTCCCAAATTACCCATAACTCCCAACCTGAAAAGATCTAAATGCATATATTCTAAAGAGGTTTGGAACGCTGTGAATAGTTCCATGTACATCAATCACCATAGGGATGGTGCTTGATGATGGGGAACGTGGGCTTGGATGTGCTGCGTTTTCTGCGCAGAGTTGGCAGCGGGTCCTGGAGGCATGTGCAGACTCCGGTGACGGTGGAGGTTGTATGGGAGGTGTTGGTGGGGGGGAGACTAAGGGGAAGGGGAGAGCGAGGTAGGAGACTCAGAACTTCGTTCCTCTCCTCCAGGGAGGCTGGGAACTTCTCTGAGGTGCACTCCCTCCCTCACCCCCAACCCCTCACCCCGCCTTTTCTCTTTCTCCTGGAGTCCACCTTGGCAAATGGAGTTCAAAGGTGACCAGAGGAGAAAGAAGAGGCCAATTTCACTGTCTTCTTCTCCTTTTCTTCCTTCTTTTTTTAAAAATCACGACATGAAGCTCCAGTTCACTTCTGCAGGCGAATCCGGAACATTTCTGTTCATCTGAGACAACAGTACTGAGCTCACCCAAATTTACAATTTTGGTTTCATTATACAGATGAAAACAAAAAAAGAATGGTGAGGTATTTGAAGATTGTTCAACCATCTTTGCTTGTAGAAATAAATGATAAATGATCGATCTTTCACTAGGCTGCCCCCAAAGCCTAACAAAATGTGTAATTCTGCGCCTGCCTTTGAACTGGTTTTAAGCTCCATCTGAA